TATAATCCTTATCGCGCGAGAGACTATATTATAAACTTTTATTATTCTTAAATTAAGATTTTATCTCTAATAAACTTGCGTTTTATTTTGGTGAAAAAAATATATAAAGAGATACATAAACATATATAGATACGTAGATCATAGATACATAGGTGTAATATATAACTTTTGGACGGTGTGCCGTGCTGTTAAAAAGTGCATGCGTCAGCGCGCTGCTTTCTACATCGAGATCTTAGCTCTCTCGTAAATGACGAAAAACCCGGATCCCTCGATACCTGACAATCCGAAAGGTAGACCGTGCCGTCGATCTCTCGATCGGTACGAATGAACGAGCACACATGTACATAGGACGGTGCACGACGGGCGGGACACGTCTCGAATATTTTACCCCGGGAGTTTTTCCTCTTTAATTGATTCAATCGGCGAAAAACACGGCGAGACCGGCTTCAAACCCCCTCGGGGGTTTTCGTCTCCTCTTCCCCTCCGCGTCATCCGCGCTTCCGGCAGCCAACCGCTGTAACGAGACGCCAGAACCAACCCCCTTCCGAATAGAAACGCCAACCCCTCTTCGCGGTTAGTCTCTCTCTCTCGCCCCCTCGTTCCTCTTCCTCGCTTACCCCTCGTCGCGGTTATCCCTTCCCACATTTCGACCCCTTTGTTCTTTCCGCTTATCGTCTCCTTTTCCTCCAATGTTTTCCTTCACGCGTAAACCCTTCCATCTTTTCCCTCTTCGCGCAATTAAACGCTCGTTACGATGTATGCCGTTCCGTTTCCGGACTTTTTTGTTCTTATCATAATTATGTTTCTTTTTCCTTATCGCCTTTCTGTTTCCAATCATCACTTCATCTTCCGCGCAACGTACGCTGTATTTCATAAGACTTTTTTCTTCGATATACCCAAGATGATACTTGACTTGAGTAAAAATTATTACAGCATATAAATTAAATCAGGCAGTCGCAACGTTGTTAATTTAGTTTACAGGTTCCTTTTATTTTTGCCGCAATTATTTTTACGTTTATCATTTTTTATATCTATTTTTTTCTCTTCTTATTATTCTAACGATGTAGCTTTATACTCGCTACTAATTGATACAAGGAATATATTTCCGATTTATTTTGCAATTTATACATTAGTTATTTATTTTTTGTAATTATTTTCAAATTACTTGAATATATGCCTAAATTAACTTGTATTTTATTTTCCTTGGAGTGTCTTCTTCGTAAGCTTTTTAATCTTGACTTTACCCCCCCCCCCCTACTCCGGCACCGTAACGTCATCGACTGTGCTAATGCGATATAATACGGAAACATTTATACACAGTATGCTCGCTGAGAGCTGAATAGTTCTCCGCCGTTTATGCAAAGCTGGTTCTCTTGGAGGAGAGTACGGGGCGCGTGTCGAGAGATGGAAAGGGGTAGTTGTGTCACAGGACGCACGGGGGAAGTTTCTGCGAATGCGGCAGAAACTCTCGCGGATTTTCCGTTTGTTATTTTAATTAGAGCCTTCGGGGCCTGCTCTTAACGAGTGCTTGGCTCTCGTCCGCGTTTATTGTATCCTTCCTGAAATGATGGTTGTGTCGTATCGTCGGATTCGTGTTGGTGGATTGTGAAAATCGCGCGTTCAGTCTGTTTCTCGTTTATTTATGCCCCCGCGAAATAATCGCATGCCACCGTATTACGGCATCAATAAGATGTCATAACTAAATTATATTCGTATTCGTAATCGTAATCGTAATCACTTATACGTCATATGTCATAATTACACAACTGACCTTTCTGACACTTCTTGAGAAACGTATGTATATGTTGGCGATTAAAAATTATTTTATTAAATAAGTAAGAATGGGTAAGAGAGCATAAATAAGTATTTACCTACGAAATATTTGTTCACAAGAATGCAAGTTAAAAAGTGCAAATTTACTTATTTACAAAAAATATTTTATAATATGCTTTTTATAATAAAAAAAAAGAGTGTACAGAGAAACAAAATAGAAAATGTCCTTACTAAATTTTTCGAAATTGCTTACAAATAACATATTTTTCGGGTAGCTAAAGATATATAAGCTATTTTAGTTTTTCTATTAGGTAGGTAGGTTAGTTTTTAAAGCACCGTTAAAAAGAACTACAGCATCGTAAAAGTTTTCGTTAGAGTCGATTTTTTACTTGGTTAGTCAGAAAAACGGATATAACTCTTGGACGAGAATATTTCTCCGTTATGCAAAAAAATTGTAACGAAAAACGGTATGGATATCACTGAGCATAATATTTTTCTGAAATTGGGTGGGCACGTCGTAAAACTGTAAAAATTCGTTATTGAAAAAGTTGACTTCCAATTCTTTGTGTGTGATTCCGGTACTTTCTTGTACCGTTTTTTGGTCTTCTCCATAAAGAAACTTTTTTATGTTTTGACTGCGTTATACAATGTGACACATTAGAAAGAGTAACGTATCTTTTTATACTTTTGCATGAACAAAGTTCGCGTACAAATTTATTAAATTATCTTAACATGTGTTTCCATTAAAAAAGATGTATAAAAGTTTTTAAAATGTGTAACGTTTGTGCAACGCAACTCTCTTAATATTCATTCAAAAATTGGATCCTAATATTGATATAATAATATGTGCGGAATATTTTGAAATTGGATATTTTAATTTGTAAATAGAGAGCATATTATTCTCATTACGTGGTATTGTATCGGCATAGCACGAAAGAGTTCAGAGAAGCCGCTTTTAATAACCCGGATATGCGGATTCTTCTACCTAGCAGTGTCGTATTCGGATCTAAAGTTCGGGCTAGAGTAATCCGCAAGATAATTCTGCTTCAGATTCTCTAACCTCACTCTATATATGATATCGCATATCCTATTACCTTTCCTTTACGCTACCAGTTTATTTCAAGACGAAAGTAAAAAGAGAGATGCGCGAGGAAAGAAAAAGGGCTAGAGGGTAGAAAGACAATTTAAAAGTACCGATTATCAAAAACTCACCGATTATCAAAAAAAACTCCTATTCAGGCTTGAAATAGTATATGTTGAATATATTTGAGTGAACAACTTAATATATAAGATATATTTTATTGATATAAAATATTTATGTTTAAAGATAAAAGAAAGATATACATGTATGTATGT